GTGTGTGTGTGTGTGTGTGTGTGTGTGTGTGTGTGTTTCTAACTCTTAATAAAACATAATGACTTCCCAATGTGATGCTCCCTGTTCTTAACATTTAAAGAAGATCCCATTTTACATTCCTTCCTAAAAAACTGAATTAGCTTGTATTTTACTTGACTGTGTAACCTGGATGAATTTCCCCCTATCATGGACCAGTGGCTTGGATAGGAAAAAAATTCCCAGTTCCTCCATTAAAACACCCAAAGGACAGCTTCTGAAGCACTCCATTAACACAAAGTTAAATGAGTATGGAGATGTGAAAGTAATGGGCTCAGGTTCCACTTGTCTGGAATTTAAAATGGTTTTCTCCTTAGATGGCAAAATCAGAGATTTCACTGAATACAGAAAAATAGCTTGCATAGAAAACACAGCTTTCACATTTACTGATAACCTTCTTCCTAATCTCACTCCATACTTTCACCACACTTCTCAAACCCCAAATTTCTGCAAGGGACCTGGACACCTCACACCTCTCAAATCCTCTATCACGATTCTTTTGGAAGATTTCCACTCTCTACTTACCTCTTATGATTTTGTGCAGACATGTCTGGTAAAAAGCATGCGAAAGACAACGTTTCTTTGCTGAAGAAATTTCTTAAGTTACAGTGATTTTTAAATATTATGCCACTTCTCAACAGTGGCAATTTCTGGTCAAAAGCAAAATTTCAGTTGTCAGTTACAAACCTAGGGATGGATTTATATTCAGAAAATCAAATCTTAGACTACACTGTTCAGAAGAGTAGGCATTATAGCTAATGAGCACCTGAAATGTGTCTGGTCCCTAGTGAGATGCGTTGTTAAGTATAAAATACACACCCGATTTTGAAGACTCAGTATGAAAAAAGAAAATGTAAAATATTTCATAATTTTTATACTGATTTTTACACGTTGAAATTATAGTATTTTTTATACATCTGGCTAAAAACTGCAGTTAAAATTCATCCAACTGCATCTTTTTATAATGTGGCTACTAGACATTTAAAAATTACATGCATGGCTCATCCTGTGTTCCTACTGCACAGCACTGTCTATATCATGTGCTCAGAGACCAGCTCACAGATGAAATGATCTGCTCATGGCTTTAATTGTATTCCAAGTCTGCCTTCGAAAACTCAGAAAATATGAAGTGAGCTTGTCTATTTAAATCTTTCTCTTGCAACCCCCTCCCAGATTGGCCACTTGACATGTTATCAGGAGTTATAGGACTATTCATGCACACACATTTCACTTTTTCCAGTATTCAAACTGGAAAGCTTAATTTAACTGATGTCTTAAAACGCCAAAGTACATACCATTGGCACTATTTCCAGTATGGGAGAGGTCAAGGAGGGCCTTATAAAAAGTAAATACTCAACTGGGAAACTGGTTCTGAGTCTGGGGACAGCCCAGCCTAGTGCACTTCTAGTAATATGGCCTGCTCTAGCATAGTTTTACCCATGTAATTCCTCAGACTCAAGACTCCTTTTTGAGTCTTGATTTGTCAAGGTGAACAATGCTAATAGTTGCCAAGATATAGCATCTCTAGATGAATTTGGGCTTTGCATTTTTTTGGGTATGCTCTTATTAACTAATGAAATTAACTTATTAACTAATGAAAGCCATTTTTTTATTTCCAAGTTTGAACATTTTAATAGGACAGCTGAAACAGATAATGATAGGCTACCTCCAACAGCTGGTGCTCAATAGGTATTTGGGGAATCAATAATTTCATTTATTTCTATGTCTACCAGAAGTCTTATATTACCACATTTGTTATGCAATTATGATATGCAATTTAATACAAAAAAGTTAACAATTCACTTTCAATGTGAACAAAAATACAGCCAGAAGTCACATCTTTTGACATTAATGTCTTGAAATTTCCTCACAATGGAAAAATCCCCACCATGTAAGAGACTCTTTAAAAAAAAAAAAAGTTAAAAAAATTACATAAGCCTAATATAACACTGTATGTCAACGATACTGGAATTAAACATTTAAAAAATTACACAAGGAATATTAAAAAGGCACAGCAAAAGTTGACTGTGTTAATTTTAAATTCATAGCTGTTACAAACAGTAACCATAAATTCTGAGAGCCAGATGTCGCCTCCAGTGTGGTTGTATTTATGAATATTTTTATTCAAAACAATCCTCCCCAAATAGGGAAATCTAACTGGTACGCAGCTACATGCGAGCATCTCAGGATGTTGCGTTTACCCAGAGTCCTCTGTCTCATCTCCAGCCAGTCTGCTAAATTGCAACCACCAATGACCCAGGAGAAGGAGAAAAGGAACCATTCTTATACCATGTGACATCTCTCCTCATGTAGGAAGACACCTTGCTCTAGGATAATTATGCAGCTTTAGGAAACATCAACAGT